TCCCTACACAGATCAGTCTTTCAGTTTGTAGGTGTACTTGCAGCTCTGTCTTCTACAGTAGTAAAGAGAGAAGTCACAGCTGTATTCCCAGCATTTGTATCCCTGAAACACTGTTCCTCTGTTATTAAGAGGGTGGTTTGCTCCCACTTTCTATTTGTGAATAAACTCCCAAAAGTATCTATCAATTTGAACTTCACATTTTACTGTGGAAAAAAACCAAACAAACAAACCTCAAAGGATTCTGATTTACCTGCTTTGATGTGTAGCCTGTGAAAGACAGTCAACTTTAGAAGAAGAGACATTGGTGCAAGCACCATGTCCTCCTGCTCATGCAAGCCTACAGCCTCTGGAAGGTCAAAAGCCCTCATTATTTCATTAAGATGATCTGATGCACAGAAGTTCTGTGATCCCTCTGTCATGTCACTTGGTCTCCCTTCTACAATCCTGCTGTGTGATGTTTTACAGGAAGTACAGCAGCAGATGCTGAAGAAAAGCTAATGAACCACCTACTGAGTCCTGACAGGTACAATAAGTTAATTCGACCAGCTGTCAACTCCTCCCAGTTGGTATCTATAGAACTGCAGGTTTCCCTGGCACAGCTCATCAGTGTGGTAAGTACAAATCAGGCTATGCCTTTTCATTCACTACTACCTGCACAGCACTCTGAGTAAAAGTCAAATTGGTATTATTATGTCTCTTGTTTTCTAGTTTACACAATAATACTTAATAGGCACAGCCCATATATGTAATTTACTGGGTTTTATACTTCAGAATGCAGCTACAATAGGGAAACCAATCTATGACTAAGCAATAAAAGACAGTGGCTGTATCTTCACCCAACAAACTTCCACTGATCAAAAACTCAGAATCATTTCACTGATTTCAGTACAGGCACAGTAAGTTACACCAGATCAGGATCTATCCTGGACTGTGCACACAATGCTAAACCACCTTATGCTGCTTGCAGCAAATAAATGTGGTTGAATGGCCTGAAAGCAAGCCACAAGGCCAGCTCAAAATTTCATGACTTATCAGCAAGGAATAGTGAAATGTTGTAAAGGAAAAGATATGTTAGCTGCAGCTGGAATAGCTTAACATGGTTAAGATAATCCCCACATAAGCAACCCCTCATATTCAATAAAAATTACTTCAACGGGTCTAAATGACATTTATACTCACAAGGTTAGCATGTGTTCAAGAGTTCTTCCAAGCTACAAATACACACCTCAATGCCAAGGGAGGTTTTACACAGATTTACACAGGAGAGACTGTCATGTATACCAGATGACTGTGGGACAAGAGCTCATTCTCTCCTGGAGAATTCCACCCAGAAGCAGACATGCAGCCTCACACAATGCACTGCCACCACTAGCACAGTGTCCTCCCAGACTGTGGATTCTGGACATAAAAAGTGAGGTGTCTTGACCCCACAGCCAGATCAACAGCCTAAATAGAGTAGATTAATGGGCAAGGATGAAGAATGGCACTATCCCTCTACATACTCTTCAAGCAGAAAGCAAAATTAGGCATCTTATAGGCTCTAACATTTCCAAGCACCTTCAGGATCAGAGAATTAACTTATTTTCCTGCAGAAATCCTCCTGACTCTTTGCTTCCTGCCTTTTCTTTCAGTAGAGCCCCAGACAGACAGATCTGCTGCAAAGAGACTTCTCTTCTGGACTGCTGTCCAGAGACAGCTGCTCCACGAAGCAGAACCTGCCAATGGCAAACCTTACATAAACCTCACATAAGTTAATCTAGGCCTTCCTGGCGGTCAGATGTGCCTTCTATTTCAAATCAAATCCACAGAAGGGGTGGGGGTGAGAATCAGCTTGGCAGGGTAGTGGTGATAGTTCCCAAATAGCCACACTCACTCCAGTCACAACTGTCCTTGTTAAAGCCATTTGGAGCTCTCACTTGTGGGGTTACTGTTTATCATCAGTATGTGCACAAGACTTAGCAGCAGAGAAATGCCCATCTTGAAATACAATAGACAAAATCATTCTGTGCCATTGGAAATATTCTCAAAAGCCCACTGAATAAATCTTATTACTGCAGTAAAGTGAAACATTAGAAGGCAGCTCTTCTCTTTTTCCCTGCAGAATGAACGGGAGCAGATCATGACTACAAATGTCTGGCTGAACCAGGTAACCAAATCCACGGAGGAATGCTCTTGCAAACCACAAATGCAACTGCTTTCACTCCATCACACTGATTATTTTGTTAGTGCTGGTCTGGATACTCCCATCACTACTGTGCAATTCTTCTCTTAGGAGTGGATTGATTATCGTTTGGCTTGGAAACCCTCTGACTACGAAGGAATCGATAAGCTGAGAATACCTGCAAAACACATCTGGTTGCCAGACATTGTGCTTTACAATAAGTAAGTAGAACTTCTGTAGTTTATGCAGGCAGAGAATAAAATTTTAATCATGTGTCAAAAAAACAAGCATCAGAAACAAATGAAGTAGGTCTGATAAAATTCTAAAACTGAATTTTGTAAATTTTAGCCAGTATCAAGTGTATCTAACTGGGGTACTGGACTCAAAGATAACTTTAGTAAAGCTCTGGTTAAAGACATTGCAGCAGACCTAGAGCATGTCTGCAGTGTCAGCTATGACACCACCCAAGGATCCATGACTAGACCGTATGGACAGCATGGACTGTACGTACAAGTGCAGCTGTACACCAGTCATGTTTCCAAGAAGCCAAGTCATCTGGAATTCTATTGGACATCGTAGGTTCTGACCTATATTTTTCCCCCTCCATTTCTACCCCAGACTCCAGGACATAAATCCATTATATAGTACATATGTAACAGAACTCCATGAGTTAATATTAATTTAAAATCATGTTCAATTTTCATAATGCATTAAGGAAACAAGCATAAGAAAATATAATAAATTGCACAACATTTGACCCTGCTGCTTTACTGTATTGAGAAAAACATAATTATGGTGCTTGAACTGCAGTTCTTATATTTATGGGAACTAACTTTTAGCTTCACCATACTGGATTCTTACATTAGTACAAAGGCTCAAATTAAAAGAGAAATAAGGTCACCATTTCTTTACTAAAAAATAGCAATTACATTGTCAATGAACAAATTACTGTTTTATGCTGCAGCCACTCCCTCTGCACTTGGTTGTTTCACAAGGTACAAGAATTACACACTAGGGTCTCACATCAGTACCAAGCACTGGGCTTTGCAACATGAAGCCTTTCCAGAGCCAAAGGCAAGAGAGCTGGAGAACTGCTACACCTGTAGCACTTCCCTACTTAGAACAAAACAAAACAAAACAAATCAATCTTAGCACTAAACTAGGACTGTCTTCTCTCATGTTGTGTAAACAAACAACTGAACCATTAGACTTCTTATTAACTCTTAAGGGACACATTTCCACTCAGATAAAAAGGTGCTACCTGACTGCAGTCAGTTGAACTTCTTTCATTTAAACTTTGATTCTAGAAACAACTGAGGCCCACCAAGAGTGTGAGAGCTCTTCTGTTTTGAACTCTGTCTTTCCTCTCACTGTTTTATCCTCTCCTCTCCTTCCATTAGTGCGGATGGCACATATGAAGTTTCACTCTACACAAATGCAATTGTGAAGAACAATGGGAGCATTCGCTGGTTGCCACCAGCCATTTACAAGAGTGCCTGCAAGATTGAAGTCAAGCATTTCCCATTTGATCAACAAAACTGCACATTAAAGTTCCGGTCTTGGACCTATGATCATACAGAAATTGATATGGTGCTTAAAACTTCCATGGCAAGCATGGATGACTTCACGCCAAGTGGAGAGTGGGACATTGTAGCACTGCCAGGAAGAAGGACTGTAAATCCTTTGGACCCTAATTATGTTGATGTGACATATGACTTTATTATTAAAAGGAAACCTCTTTTTTATACCATCAACCTTATCATTCCCTGTGTGCTAATTACATCCTTAGCCATCTTGGTGTTCTACTTGCCTTCAGACTGTGGTGAAAAAATGACCTTATGCATATCTGTGTTGCTTGCCTTGACTGTGTTCCTGCTGCTGATCTCCAAAATTGTCCCTCCAACATCTCTAGATGTTCCACTTATTGGGAAGTATCTCATGTTTACAATGGTTTTAGTGACCTTCTCAATAGTTACCAGTGTCTGTGTGCTCAACGTCCACCATAGATCTCCAAGTACTCACACTATGCCCCCTTGGGTAAAGCTGGTTTTCCTTGAGAGACTCCCAGCCTATCTGTTCATGAAGCGTCCAGAGAACAATTCTCCACGGCAAAAGCTGCACAGCTGCAAAAAGACAAAAGCAGAGAATCCTTGTGTGGACCCAGCTGACTTCTACAAGAACTCTACCTATTTTTTGAATACGGCCTCTGCCAAAAAAAAATATGACATGAAAATCACTGAGACTCTTGACAATGTCAGCAGTCACCGAGATTTCAGGTTAAGAACAGGCATGAAATTTTCTCCTGAAGTCCAAGAAGCAATTGATGGAGTCAGTTTTATAGCAGAGCACATGAAAAGTGATGACGATGACCAGAGTGTAAGTAAAAATGTGAAATCACCCCAGTCTTTCCCAACTTCATCTCCTGTCCTCTTTCTGAAGAACACAGTGTTCTTCAGAAAGCATATTTTAACTCCCCAGCTATTCTAAAGTTTTTAGAGATTCTAGCCGTAGCTTTTGAGAGGAAATAAGTTTTGCCACTAATTAACTTAATGAACAGCATTTTGGTAATTGCTGATACTGTCCTGGAAACTAACACTGCTATTTCTATGAAGAGATTGCCCAGTAAGTCATGGAACACCCTTGGAAAAGCTGTGGTGTCACATTCAAGTAGTGTCTGGCAGGGGAAGAAATAATATTCAATTCCAGGTTAGAAAAATAATCTTTTTTCCCATTGCATTTAGTAACACTGTGATTCAGCCCATGGCCACATTAACCAGAAACAACCTCCCTGCAACTCAAGCATCTCTTTATCTAACTGGGCACAGAAGGAGGATTTAGTGAAATTGATAAAATGCCTTTGCAAACACCCTCTCTGGGCTAAGGTACCTTTCTATCTATGGCAAACACAATGGGGAGGATTGAAATCCTAATGCCAGCAGACTTGACACTTCTTTAATTTGAGTAAAATCAGACTTCTTGTTGACTATGAGAAGTACTTTATTCAGGACATATTTTAGCAGTGCTGCTGCTGCCCTATTCACTTGCCCTTCTCTTGTACTACCAGCTAGCACACTAAAGCTTTTCTAAATACATTGAGAATAACACTTGGAAAAACTCAGATGGTTCAAAGTTTTGTTTAGATGAGGACCTATGGTTAGGAAAAATCATCTTCCTATCTACCAGTGTCCCCTCTCTGACCCAAATGCCAGTCAGACTCTAGGGTCTGTTTCTGCTGTACTCTTCCTTTCCTCAGCCAAGCAGATTAAATAAAGTCTGGTTCCTGATCTTGCAGAAGTCCCTTGAGGAGCATGTCTCTGAGTAGTGTTTTTTATTAGTTGAAATTACTGTCAATATAAATAAAGAAGATCAGCTCTTAACATTAGACATGAGCCTGTAAACATTGAAACTGACTGAACAGTACTGACTGAACAGGAGCAGAGCAAACATTTTCTAATAGCTCAGAAATTCATGCAAGAACGTGTTGCACACTAAAGGATTTACAAAGCTTCCAGTTGCTATTAAGAGCAATTTGCAAGGGTATTTTAGACATTAAAAATTAATTGAGTGCTTTTCACATGGGTTCCTCTGATATTACATATCACTTTTCTAGATTAATAATTTTAATCCCTGATTTCTTCCTCCATTATTATGGTCCGATGACAACTGTTCATGTACATTTACTACAGTCTGGTTTCAGAAGCACGTGATTTCCATTAGCAGAAGTGGAAATTAGAAGTGTGCACTGAAGGAAAAGTATGTAATGTTTTAATACAAGACACGCAATAATCTACAAGCATGGTAAAGTCACTGAAGTGAGGGTGTCCCACATGTAATTAGAATCAACGACGGGAAAATACAATAATTCCTGAGATGCAAATGAAGACTGATGTATTCTCCCTTCATAATACTTGTCCTGTAGTCATTTCAGTTTGAGAACAGAATATGAGGCCATTACTCTCACAGACAACACATGCAAAGCAAGAAGAGATTTTAATAAAAGCAATAGTATTAATATGCATTAAATCCCTTGATTAAGATGACCGCTGATAAGAAAAGAACTCTGAAACTAACCTCGTTTAACAGCTGTAACCACTATCTATTTTTGTCCACTGAGATTAATAGTATCTACAAACTAAAGTTAAAGAAAAAAATTCCTTAACTGGATTATACTGTGGGTCCTTCCGGACTGGCTTCCATCAGTAAGTCATGTTCAGTACCTGATGCATCCAAGACAGCTAAGAAATATGTACAGTGTTTTTCTCCACTGACCTGAATGGTTGTAGGAGAAAAATCCCTTCCCAAATCTAAAGTAATTTAATTCTCTGAACCTTGAGATATATTTCCATTCATTTTCATAAGCAAAACTCGACATTAGGAAGAGGAAGAGCAAAAGAATATGACAAATTGCTAATATCTTTCATTGGCTTTTTCTTCCAGGTCATTGAAGATTGGAAGTATGTTGCCATGGTAGTGGACAGGCTGTTTCTCTGGATCTTCGTCCTTGTTTGTGTCCTGGGGACTGTTGGATTATTTCTGCAGCCACTTTTTCAAAACCACACTGCTGTCACGAACCCTTAGTTGTAATTTAAAACTGTCAATACCTAAATAGATGTTGGGTCTCATACTGCTCTCAGTTCCCCTCTGTTAAATCCACAGAGACGCCAAATGAGTTGCTCTTACATCAGATTTAGAGTAGGGAAATGGAAAGTAGAACTTGACTTACTTTGATAGGAGAAAAACCAAGAGAAAACTATTACTTTTTCCAATAAGTTCAGAACTTCTGGTCATATGTTGGCCTTTTTTCAATTATTTTAAGTCTAAACACTATAGAGAAAGTCATTTACTGTACAGTTTGCCATCCTGGCTCACAGGGATTATTTTAAAAGTGTTTTACATACTTTGCCTCAGGAAGGACCTTTTATTTCCTTAGAATACTGCAGTTTCCCTATCACAAAGGTTTTGCTATGACGTATTTCCTTCAAATGACTCAAAACTATTTGTGTCTGATTTATAGAGAGCTGTGCAGGTGGAATCACTGTTTAGCTGTTTGAACATGATGTTTAAAAGTGAACTGAGAAACAGAGACAGACCCCTGAAGTAACCACTACCAGGTCTCTCACCTTGCCATCTCGGATAGTGGATTGACCAACAGAGGCCAAATATGATAAACATTTATATACTCTGTCCAATAATGAAATATAAATAAAATGTAAAATTTTCCTTTATAGAAATTTAGTCTTGAAATCTTCCTGCAACTTTAACAGCTCTTGCAATTGGGGTTCATATACACTTTCATCAGTCTAAGAGCACAGCAAAGCATCTTGAGAAGACAGCTGTGAAAGGCAGCTAGAATGAGGAGAAGACACCTGAGAATAGACTTGCATATTTTGCAGGAGAGATTTTAATACAGATTTAAGTATAATCCGCAACAAACTAGCTAAGAAAGCATTTAATGCCTATACAGTGTCAAAATCTTCTGCAAAGGACGGATCAAGTCCCTATACTCCTGTGACAGGACAATCCCACCACTTTGTTCCAGGTAGCTCTTAATCTGCAAAAAGAGAAGTAGGCTTTTGGTATTTTTCAAGCTAAACCACTCTCAGCTTCTCTGCCGTGCTGTCAGGGCACATAACAGATTTACAATCATTGATAGGCACAACTAATGTCTGGTGAATAAACTGTTAAAATCCACTCCTATTTGTGAAGTACACCTGAGGCACACCTGTCCCAGGGAAGGATTAGCTGACAACTCAACCTGTGTTCTTCAACAAGCCACAGACCAAGTCACCTCTGGCTCTATTTGCCTTCATCCCTATTTAGATCACTGTTCCCAGGTAGCTACAGATAACTACATAGATTTAGATATGCCAAAACTGCTGTACCAACACCTTTCCAATTCTGGGACCTTTGCTGATGCCTGTGTTTGCTCCCTCCCTATCCCTGTGCTGACCTCCCAGCACTGCTGCCACGTCCCCCTGCCCAGATCCCAGCCCTGCAGCATGGCCTGGAGCTGGCACCTGGAAGAGGCTCAATGCCAGAGCAGCAGCAGGAGGGCTGGTGAGGCTACGTGAGCAGCTGCAGCATCTCCTCCAGTCCTGCTGGAACAAGGTGTGGCTGTAACACTGCCATCCTCCCTTCCCTTCTCCTTCCTCCATGCACTGTAGCTGTGTCCATTGCTGCAGACATGGCAAGAAGGTGAAGATGACTGCAGGACAGCCCTACTGATGCAGCTGTGCCCTGTGACCACAGAAGCTGCCACATTCTCTCCAGGAGGGTTGCAATGCTCTGGTAATCTCCATTAATCATTTTGAATACTTCCCATGGTTACTGGTGGGCAGTGTAAAGTTTAAATGGGTCAAATATGCTCGCACCTCAAATGTTGTCTTCTTCTTCTCAAACCTAGACAGCAGAGCTATTTCTCTTCATTCAGCTGAAACAACAGCTGTGAGATGACATGGGGCACAGGCAGCTCCCCAAGAAGAGAGGGGTGCCTTCACCTATGCAGAGAGATGCTGCACTGTGTTAAGTTACATGCGGAGCTGACATGGCACAGAACATCAGAAGCACACATGCACATGCTGCCCCAGCTGCTAAGCAGCTTTTTCTGCTTACAGAGAGGCCAAAGAGAAGCCAGAGCAGCTGCCAGCACTGCACAGTGTAAAGGTTAAGCCCCTTTAAATCCAGCAATAACCCTGAACAGTGAATGTGAAAGAGGCAGCACAGACGTCAGCACAGACTTAAACGCTTTTGCGAGCTACTACACACCCTGCAGGGCAGAAGGGAGAGCTACTCACCAGGCCAAGCTACCAAGGATGCAGCAAGTCAGCCACAGAGCCTGCAGCCTGCCCGGCTGACACTGGAGCTGTGCAGAGCAGAGGCCCCTCTCTCTGCTCTTCTCACCCAGCAACAACACTTCTGGCTGTGTCTTGCTCTTATCCTCCTATCAATCATTACTCATCTCTCCAGACCCTTAGTAGTAGTATTATTGTCCTTCCCCTCACTGCCTGAAGACAACTGAAAGGAGGCCTCCAGTACTCCAATCTCCTGGCTGGGCTTATCTTTATGAGCAGTAATGACTGATAACACTTGGCTCTGTAACTGCAGCCTTCAGCAGAATTATCCCCAGCACAGACTAAAGCTCTAGAAAGGATCTGGCAGCTCAGCAAGCAGCTAACATAGAGTAACAGGCAGATGAAGGCCTCAGACCTGACAAACCCAACCATGCTTGCAAAAGGCACATCCCTGGCCCCAGGGAGAGCCCTGCAGAGCTAGAGCTCCTCATCCAGGACACGGTGGCTTCTGGTGCTTTCCATACACTGTGGCAAACTTACTCCTTTTTCAATCACAAGTGAAGGAAGATACTCTTCCCTAGTTATGTCCTTGGAAACCACCAATGTATTTCTTTAAAGTTTCCAGAAATAATTCAATCCATAGCAAACTTCAGAATGGAAAATTCCACCCAAATTCACAAAATTTTGAAAAAAATTAACCTAAAACTGTGGTTTAAAAATGGGAAGTGCTATTTTTGCCTAACCCTCAGCAGGTCCACCTACATAATACATGGGTCTGTTCCTGGTTTAACTTGTCAAATCTTGCTTTAATTTTTTTATTTTTTAAAAAAATTTCAAAAATAAAAGATTTCTGGAGAAAAGGAAACATAAAAAATTTCACCTTGCAGGCTAATATGAACATGATCATTGTACAAAATAAACTGCAACAATTCTACTTTTCAGGGTCTTTTACAGTAGGAAAAGAGATAACTCAAAATGTATTTTTCACTAAAACTGTTTCTCAATGGCAGTGTGCAACCAGCCCCTGCTTCCCTGCCAGACAGGGAAGCTCCATTCCCATTCCTTACCACTAGAAGACTCCTTAACCCTGACCAATCATGTCGTCTGCCAGAACACACAGAAGTACCACCACCACACACATGTACCATCTGCCTCCAGGTGAGTTTATTTGGGACTGTTTCTGCACCCCTGCAGCCACTGCAAACAAGAATCAAACTACCACACACTGGTTTGGGTTGGAACGGACCTTAAAGATCATCTAGATCCAACCCCCTGCATGGGCAGGGACACCTCCCACCAGCCCAGGCTGCTCCAAGCCCCATCCAACCTGCCCTTCAACACTGCCAAGGATGGAGCTTCCACAACGTCCCTGGACAACCTGTTCCAGTGTCTCACCACCCTCACACTGAAGAACTTCTCCCTAATATCTAATCTATATCTCCCCTCTTCCAGCTTAAAACCATTCCCCCTCGTCCTCTCCCTCCCTGCCCTTGTCCAAAGTCCCTCCCCAGCTTTCCTGGAGCCCCTTCAGGCACTGGAAGGTGCTCTCAGGTCTCCCTGGAGCCTTCTCTCCTCCAGGCTGAACAGCCTCAACTCTCCCAGCCTGGCTCCAGAGCAGAGCTGCTCCAGCCCTGGGATCATCTCCATGGCCTCCTATGGACTCGTTCCAACAGCTCCACGTCCTTCTTATGTTGGGAGCTCCAGAACAGGACACAGGACTCCAGCTGGGGACTCACAAGAGCAGAGGAGAAGGATCACCTGCCTCGACCTGCTGGCCACACTACTTGTGATACAGCCCAGGAGTGCTGGCTTTTGATAGAGGCAGTATCAATACCCAAGACCAAGGTGGAAAATACTATTTTCCTCATCACTTGAGTTGATTAAGCTTTGATCCTACTAACTCCTATCAAATCAAAGCACTACTACAAGTGGCATGCTTATTAAAAAGCAAAGGCTACATGGTTTGTCACTGCAGATCAACTTGGGTAGATCAACTTCTCCCTACCCATAAAAATTATTCTTCTATTTAATTTTGCAATGCAATCATGGTGACATGTTCTTACCACATCACTCTCCCTAGCCATAGAAATAGTCCTGCCTCAAGCCTGAGCTGACTTCACTAGGAGTCACCAGGACCAGGAGGTCCAGCATGTGATCTTAAAAATAAAATATCTGTGCAGACAAACACCACTGAAAGTCTCAGTAACTAGGAAAATTAAGCTAAAATACCTGTAGCTCTTGATGCAATGGCTCTTTGCTGCCTATGCAGATCAGATGTTTCCAAATTATTAATTGACTTCAGGGGAACACAGGTTATGATGTATCTTTGAAGCTTTAGATCATTTCTAGTTGGGACTAAAAAATAATAATAAAAAAATCTCAGTTATAATGCTTCTTATCCATGGAAAGGCAGAAAGGGAAAACATCTAGTCTCAAAGCCTTAGAAAGGCAAAAAAATATATCCACAAAGGGTTAAGGTAAAAGACCAAGCTGCCAAGTTCTCTGGAAAAAAAAGAAATTAAATCATGGACAGTAAAGCCTATTTCCTCCAAGATAATAGAATTACAGACATTATCATAAGGGCATGTGTCTGGGGATGGAGTAAATGATGCTCTGAGAGACAAGGCAAACAAGATAAAAAAAGCTCTGTGCCAAGAGCAGCTGAGCTGGGCCCAGTCTGGTGCTCTTTCTCCCAGTGCTACCTCCTAACACAGTGCCAAATGGGGTCATCAGTTATCCTTCCCTGACAGCAGGGAGTGAAGCTCCTATGGGACGCAGCCTGCTGTCCCACAGGGCTTCCCTTTCATCATCTCCAAAAATGAGGGTGGAATGAAACATTTTTCTCCCCTCCTGCTCCTCCCTCCGCACAGACTGCTCAGGTGTGTGCAACAACCACTGCACGTGGGAGCCCTGCATCACCTGGTCCTACAAAGAGGGGGCCAAAAAATTACATAAAACTGAGCAAGGAAACTTGGGGAATAAGCCACTTTGCAAATAATGATTTTAAGATTGAACTTCACACACAACTTCTCGTTCTCCCTCATCTCCTTTCCCCTAATAAGGTTTTGTGGGATCAATCTGGGATCCTATGCTCTTATTCTTCTTCCCAATTTTCATCTCTCTAACCCATGAAAGCAGGAACAGTCCAAAGACAGCTATTCTGAAGAGCTTTGGTCAAGTTTGGTCTCCAGCTCCAACCCCTGGCACTCCCCAGCCCCTGGCTGCTATGCATATCACTCTGGACTTTGATCCTGGCAACAGCTGGACACGCCTTTAATTACTCTTGGGAACAGCACCACCTTTTATACAGTCAAGCACCTTGCACCTGCACTTGCAAAATGAGACACAGACAGGAAAACATCCCTCAACATTAACAGCATCATTGGAACTTCGGGTCCCATGTTCTCAGCTCACTGCTAAATCAGGCATTCCTAACATCAATATCCATTTCAGCACAATTCAATTACACGATCTTTATTAATTAAACTTCTCCTAGTAGTGTGGCATGAGCTTCTGATAAAGAAGGATCCTCCTGCACAGGAGCTGACTGGAAAAATCTTTAGCATCGTCAAATTACCAGGTTCATTTATGCACCCGTTTAAGGACTCTTGCCTATTATCCTTGCCAGAAGACTGCTCTTTGCCTACAATAACATCTGTTTTGTCTGCAATTTGTTTGCTGTTCTCGGTGTTCTGACAGCCTGGGTAGCTAGAAAGGGGGCAGCACAGCAAACCTAATGGGAGCTCACTGCGCAGAACTGTTCAGGGTCCTGCCATCTGCTGCTTCCAGGCGTTTCACGCATCGGAGGAGCAGAGCTCTCAGTACTTCCCATGCTCGTACAGTCCTGGCAGCCAGGCTCGTCTTCAACAGCCTCCGCCGACAGGCAGTAATTCAAACAACATGGAGAGCACGCAGGCTCTCCTTTTAACTGCTGCCGTTTGCCTTCTCTGTCAAGGTGAGTGATCCTTACTTTGTTTATTCTTTGTCGGTGAAGGGGGGCTTGAAGAGGAGAACAGGAGATGGCTTTGGTGTAAATTATTTTTAAGAAGTGCTGAAGCTCGCTCCAAAGTAACTGATAAACGTAAAGAATCCTAGTAAAGCTCTTTTTGTTACATAGTTTGCTGGGTTATTGTTTTGTTGTTGTTGGTTGTTGTTGTTTTTTTTTAATTTCTCCTTGTAAAATAGTTAAGTAGTCCTGATTTGAAATGCCAAGCAGGACACACAAAGCCATTTCAACATTAAGAAGGTAAAGCACCTTACATGTAAAGGTGTGGGTTTGCATGTTGTAGAGAAGACCACAAGAAAATGACAATATTAAACAGCTTTAGATCTGTGCTGCAAACAGTGCACCTTCTCTCTGCAGATATGGAAAGCACCAAGACATGTACGTAAAAAACCCCGACCCAACCCATTATGCAGTTCTCTAGATAAAGTGAATACTAGATTTAATGACAGTGCTGGTAACATGTAAAAGGATGGCAATTTGGGATTGACTGCAATAGAAAATTGCTAAGACCTGGCTTTACAATGATTCACCTAAAATATCTGGGAGTGTTTATACCAGGAAATCTTGAACTGGGAGATATGAAGTATCGATAAGTAACAAGGTCAAGGCTAGCAGTTAAAAAGTGTGAAAGAAATGTGGTTTGTTTTTAGTTAGCAAGTGGGCTTGAATGATTTCACTAATCTGAAAACAAAATTGCCCTCCAGGCAAAAAAGAAGATGTGGGGTAGGGGAAGGAGGTTTTAGCTGAGTACATTTTCACATGAGGGGGACCCTCCTGTCTTAGGGAGGGGGGAGCTACTACAAAGATCATAAACACCTGCTTTGTGAAACACCACAGATCAGTCCCCTGTAAATACTTCTGCTTCCCATCTTTTACTCTGCTGAAAAACAGCTGACTGCCAAGAAAGAAACATGTCCTCACAAATATCTTTCATTCATATTTGTGTTTCAAAGGAACTGTAGAGTATGTTCAACAGACTGTGCCTTGGCCAAATTCACAGTGTCATCCATAAATGACAAATTAGGCCTTCTTTACCCCCCTCAGTTGCAGTGCTTGAGGATGTGCTGTCCAGAAAGAGTTTGAGAGAGAGTCTCTAAAAATAAAAGGCCACTGGCTTTTAAGTAGTACCTGACTCTCAGGATAGACTTGCCTACTTAGTTCCAGGAGTAAAGATGTCGTGTGAAATACAAGTTCTCACACCTCATCCCAAAACACTTGAAACACCTGGTTCAAAAATTTGAATGTGCAGCTTTTCTGCCAGCCACAAGACACCATGAACAGCAGTTACCAGTGGCAAAACAGACAACAGGAATATACTACAGATAAAACTTATTTAGAATAATAAATGGGCAATTATTAGAATCTGCTGAAAAGTCTTTGAATATAATGGCTAATCGATTTTTAATCCTTTTTTTTTAAATATTTTAACAAGCAGGCTTTATCATCACTATAATCACGTAACCATGACTCAGGTTAGAAAGCAGAGTTCTCATGTCCTGGGAATCCTCCTATTGCAAAACACTCCCACAGCCCACAAGCTGCCTGCTCTGTCAGGTTACACTTTTCCCTTCCTCTGCTCCACACTCCTGCAGACCCAGCAGGTCTCAGGAACTAGGGGAATACTTTTGCACCTCCAATTCTCCAGTAACTCCCCAAAAGTATTTTTTTAACTCGTTTGCAAAGATGCACATGAGAAAAACTGTCTCAGCATCGCCCTTCACTGCTTTTCCTCTCCCTGCCTAAGCGAGTGCCAGTCATGACACACTACTGCCCACGCAGGAGAGGCTCGGCCTTTCCCCGCGCATCACACGGATGCTAAGCAGTGAATACACCGCAGGATGGGTACCAAAGGCGGCAGTGCCCCCTCCCCAGCCCCGCACGGGCCGCTGCTGCCCCCGGGGCTGCGCCGGCCCCCGCGGCCGCTCAGCCC